TAAGCTAAATAATAATAAAGACCAGAGGATGGATTGCGCCTCTCCTAATAGACTGCGACAAACCGTTAGCTTCAGAGCATTTCATGGGGCCATCCTGCAAGATTTTGATTCATCCGGTTATCGTGCAGTGTTGTTCTGACATTCTCCGGCTTTCTAGAAATAGCTGCTGCTATTTTATAAAAAGGAAAAAAGGAACCCCTGTTCCTGAGAACGAGCTCACACACAAACCCCTGGTTTGATCTCTACACACTCCTTTGGATCTCAATTCTTTTCTAAGATGTGTCTCTGAAAGCTACATGTTGACCTTGTAGCTTTCCTTGATCAGCATTACTTGGGTTTATAATAGTGGGGGAAGAGAAACATAGGTATTAATAACAACAACAAGAAGTCCTCTGGCACCAGAGAGACATATAGATATATATATATAGAGAGAGAAAATCACGAGCTTTCATGGGCAAAAAACCTCTTCAGATGAGATGAGCCAACGTTTACACAAAAGAAAAACAGTTTATTTTCCCTTTTTTTATAAACAGAAAATATTTTGTAGAACACCCCCTGAATAGGGTCTCAAAAAGTGTCTGCGAATGGTGGTCCATGGCCAGAGCTCTAAACAGTCTGTTGGTCCTGAATGTATTTTTAGTAGCTATCAAAAAGTTTTCTACCACTGGGAATTTGCGAAACAATATTTGTCCTCTTGTTTGAAAAGGCATCTGAAACCAAACGCGGCTGTCCAAGCAGATCTTGTTTCAATGTTCAGCTGAAGCTACACATCTGCCCAATTAACTTATGCTGAGAAAATATTGGATGGGGGGAGAAAAATTGAAAGGCTGAAGAGTTGTTCATGATTTTCAGTGCGTGTGAGATTTTTCCAATTTTTTTTTGCATCATGCCATAAAGCAGGGATGGTCTTTTTGGCATGCTGCTTTTGACCATTCACTGACGTGCTTCTAGCCTTCTCAGCGGCCAGTCCTGCTTTTGCCCTGAGACACAATGACAAGCAGTTACATGAGGAAAGTAAGTGTGGTCAGGGAGAAGGGAGTTTCTAGACGCAAGATTGCAACTATTTCAGCAATGGCTTTAAATGGGACACACTCAATTACACCAGAAATGAAACTCTACAGGTCCAAGTTCTTTGACACGATCATCTGGTGCGAGGAAAAAAAGTGGAAAGATTTCCTTTAAAGTATGAGAGACGGCAAGCTGCAACAAGAGGACAAGAAGCCATTGGGAGTGGAACTGCAGGTGATTTATTTTCCATAAAGGATGGTTATGTGGCAATGAGTTTTAAAGAAAGAGTGGTACCATCACATTACAGCTCAGAGTGCTTCAATAATGAGATCTCTGTAGCCACCTAAAAACTAGGCCACACTCTGGAAGAGCCAGGCCTTTCAGTAAAGTGTGATTTGGGCTCTGCAGCTTTGGTACACTAGAAGTTCTTTTAATTGCCACTTATTGTGTCTTGTGCCATCTTGGGAATAGTTTAGGGCACTTTTCATGTTTGCGTTCTGCATTACAGCTCTATGTAACATCTTTATGTGGTCTTACCAGCTTCGGAGCGCTCTCTTCCTCGCCACATAAACGCTCAGAGACACAATATATCTCTCGATGTGTATTTCCAAATACCAAGACCTCGAGGCTGAAAGCTGGCACTTCACTCCTAAATCATGTCACTTAAAACACAGAGGGGGAGTGAGTGGAGGATAACAACAAACAAACCGAATGAGCTACAGCCACAGACTCAGCTTTAATATTTAATTTCTTTCCATCAGCATCCGTCACATCCTCTGTGCTCTCAGGCTGTTTCCCGACTCACCCCCAAATTAAGCAGCTCGTGTGTTTGTAGGGAGAGTAGGACAACGCCTTGATCTTGATAGGAGCATCTGAGTTGTTAGTGCAATATAAACATGAAATATGCATTCGGGGGGGGGAGGGAGGAGGAGGAAAAACAGCAGCTTCTGACAGAAAACCCGAGAGACTAGGGGTACCCACAGTATGAACTGTGACCCTGATGGACCAAGGGGCAATAGTACTGGACTGATGGACCCATTCATATGCCCACAGACATAAGTATTTGCATTTCTCTCTTCCTTGGAAGATGGTGATTCAATTCACTGGATCAGACAACTTCGGTGGCAGAGCTCATCCTCTTCCTACAATTCCTGGCTCATTTTAGGAGCCCCAGGCTGCACTGGGCCCTGCAGGCTCCTACAAGAGACCCACAGTTCCACTGGTACAACGTCTTTATTGTGTGCATGGTTATTTAGAGTTTGGGTAAACAAATATCTGCATTTATTTACTCAAGAGACAGAAAAAGTTTTCCAGAGAAGACCGATTTGAGGCCTACCAGGCTGGAAAGTTTGCATTCTTTACCCAACAGGCCATGACAGCACCATGGTAAATGCACTGATTTTAAAATGTTTATTTAGAAGTCCAATAACTCCAGATCGGCTGATACGATTCAGTAACGTAAGAAGGAGCTGGTGAATAAGAGCACTGGGCCAAACCTCATGTCTTTACACAAGCAAAACTCCCATTGACTCAGAAGAAAAGTAAGGATTCCAGCCCCTAGCCTGCACTAAAAAAGGCCACAAAAAAAAAAAAAAAAAAAAAAATCAAAACAGCTGATGGGAGAGGGACACTCGCTGTGTGTTAGGACAACCTGCAGATCCCGGGATCTAATGCAGCCAGGGAACAAACAACAAGGTGGTGCATTCTGGGACCAATAATTTTTGTGAGGCAAGCCTCTAATCAAGAGGAAAGTGGTAGTGGATTGCATTTGGCATGGGGGTAGTGCTCGGAGTGTCTTTAAATCTTTTGTGTCTAATCCAACAGCTTAACATACACTCCCAGAAATCTGTGGGCCTCAAAGACATATTTTTCAAGTAATTTAAGAAGAAAGTAACTACAACTACGAAATGCATTAGCTGCTTGGAAGAAATTCAGTTTTAACATAATGGGTCTAAATTACAAAGGCTGCAAAACTGTGCTACGGAATCCACTTGTAAAAGGACATTTTAAATGCAAGTGTGAGCAGGCTGCACATTTTCACTGGAATGAAAAAGAAAAAAAAGACGGGGAGCCAAGATCATTGGCACCTCGCTGAGGCCCATGATAAATTTTTACAGCTAAATTAATAAATCCTTGATAATAGCGGGAAAATGAAATGTTGACCTGACTTAACGCAGTGTCCCAAACGACTCTGCAGCGCTCCAAGACCATGCTAATAGCATAACAGGGCAGGAACATCCTGATGGACACCAAGAGCAGCAGACATGCCAACCCTCCAGGATTACCCTGGAGTCTCCAGGAATTAAAGCTTAAGATGAGTGATGAATTCTCCAGGAATACGTCCAACCAAAATTGGCAACCTAGTTAGCAGTGTATTCAAACATACCCTTTTCCTGGAGTAGTTAATTTACAGACACATGCTTAAACTAGAAGCATCAGGCAGCTTGTGCAGACAGAATGAGTCAGAAGTAGTTAACTTTTAAAGAAAACCAGGCTTCACTGAAGGAGGTCACCTGCCCCTCCTCCCACTCCTGCTTTTAGTCAGGAAATAGAATGGCCATTTAGTTGCTAAATAATAAGGAAGAATGAGCTTGTAATTAAGATTCTGGAGATCGGGGGGTAGGAGGGGTTCTTGTTCCGGATCTGCCATACATTCCCGATGTGACCTTGGACAGGCAGCTTCGTCTCGTTTTCCTTTCTGTAAAACAAGGATGAGGAGGATTCCTGGACTGAGGAGTTACGGAAATTAATTCACTAACGTCTGTAAGGTATTCAGGCTAGAATGAGTCTGATTTTAAAGCCAGACTGGACCATTCCAATTATCTAGTGGGGACTCCAGTGCACTCAGACATTCCTGTTTTCATTGTAGAGACTGTGTTAAGGCAGAAATCAACAGGGCATCGGATTTGCACATTTTTACACTGATCTGTGAGGTGCACAAAGTGGTGAGTTCAAGGAGAATGTTCTGAGTTTGCCTGTACCCCGCTTTTTCCGACTGTTATTGCCACATAAGAGCTCACTGGCACGCACTGTATCACCTACAGACACCTTTGCAAGAGCCCCCAATGTCAAAACCCCGGTAAGGTGGCTAAGCAGGG